GTTTCAGCCACATTCTTCGCTAACAGGTGTATAAAATCAAGCACATAGCCATGCAATCACTTTAGACAAACACTAAAATGGGATATAGGGAAGAGCTCTTTGACTTTAAACATGTCACTGTAATAGGACGCCAACTTTGCCGCAAGCCAGTTTGTGAAATTTCTGCCCTGCTAGATCTGCCCCTGTCAACTGTAAGTGCTATTATTGTGAAATGGAAGTGTTTAGGAGCAACAACAGCTCAGCCACAAGGCAGTAGACCAAACTCAAAAAGTGTGGCCGCTGATTGCTGAAGCGCGTAGCATGCAAAAAATCACCCTCTGTTGTGTCACTCTCTACAAAGATCCGAACTGGGTTTCAACATCGGCACAAAAACTGTGCATTGGGAGCTTCACAAAATGGGTTTCGACAGCTGAGAAACAGCACACAAGCCTGGAGTGGAGTGGCTGGCTGGAGTGGTGTAAACATAAAAAACATAATCTCTGGAGTGATTATTCACACATCGCTATCTGTCAGTCTGTTGGATGAATCTGGGTTTGGTGGGTGCCAGGAGAATGCTACCTACTGGAATGCATATTACTAATAGTAAAGTTTGGTGGAAGGGGCATAATGGTCTGGGGTTTGGGCCTAGCCCCTTAGTTCTATTAAAGGGTAATGTCAATCAAAAGACAAAGCATTAAGCGTTAGGACAAAGCATGGGCTGTTAGGACATGATTAGACAAGTTTGGTGTAGAGGAACTCCGGTGGCCTGGATGTCAACCCCACTAAACACCACTAGGATGAATGGGAACATAAATTGTGAGCCAGGCCCTCTCATCGAACATCAGTGCCTGACCCCACAAATGCTTATTTGACTGAATAGGCATAAATTCCCACAGACACACTCCAAAATATTGTGGAAAGCCTTCCTAAAAGAGTAGGGGCTATTCTATCTACAAATGGAGGCCAACTTCATATTAATGACCATGGTTTTGGAATGGGATATCCAACAAGCTTATATAGGTGTGATGGTTGTGTCCTCATACTTTTGACCATATAATATACAAATGCTGCAGGGGGTTACAGTTATAGAGAGTTGTAGAATCTATGTAAAGGTGCATTGAAGCTGTTGAGAAAAAAAGAAACATGTACTTAACAGAAAATTACACAGAAGCCTGCAATACTAAATATAATATCAAATCTATGATAAATCTTTGGTGGTAGACCCCCAAAACTGTCACCACCAGATAAACTGTGCTCAAAGCTTTCATCTTCAAGAGAAAATCTCCACACTTGCTTTAGAAAAAATCCACAGTGTTTCTGTCCATCCTTTCACTGTGAGAACACTATGGGTCAGAAAAGGAAGAAAGTTTGAGATTAATTAAGTAAGTAAGATGAAGTAAGGTTTTATTTACTTGGATTGTGAGAAGCAGAAATTCAACCAACTTCTAGGACTGAATTTTGGAGGTGTGGAAAAATATCCCTGCAGATTTCGTTGGAAATCTCCCAAGACAAACAGAAACAGCAATAAAGGCAAAGGGTGGATGCAGTGAATATTGAACAATTTGATATTTATATAAAGGAGTATTAGGTTTTTGATGTGTCTGTGTAATTTTCTGTTGAATTATATGAATAATGGTCATTTTTTGACTGGGGAGGGTGGTCTCTGACTTTTGTACAGCACTATAAACACAGTATATCACCCTCCCTTTCTCTCTTTCTTTACATCTCTCTCTCTCTCTCTCTCTCTCTCTCTCTCTCTCTCTCTCTCTCTCTCTCTCTCTCTTTCTCCCTCTCTCTCTCTCTCTCTCTCTCTCTCTCTCTCTCTCTTTCTCCCTCTCTCTCTCTCTCTCTCTCTCTCTCTCTCTCTCTCGCGCGCTCTCTCTCTCTCTAAAAGCTTTGTAGGTGGTTGTCTATTTGTGTCTGTAGTGCTTTTCGCACTTCTGAATGGACCTTCATTTCCTCTGTGTGTGTGTGTGTTTCTGTGGACAGGTTTTAGCTGACAGTGCAGGTAGTGTTCTTGTGGAGAGTTCCCCAGGCTCTCTTTCAGCTCCACTCATTCATTACTGTACACTGAACTGTTTGAATAGACCGTGTCTCCACAGTGGTCTGGAGCCGTGGGAAGTGCTGTAGGTAGTCAGTCACTGGGAAGGATGTGTTTAAGCCTTTAAGCATTTGTCACACACAGATGTTTTTATAACAGTTTTTGTCCCACCTGCAGAATTTTACTGCTGTGTATACTGCCTGTCAGAGACACTTGATACTTGTTTTTCACTGAAACAATGATCATCTGATCATCTTCATGTTAATCTTCATGTTCCTTGGTAGAAAAAGCAAGTTTTGTCTATATTATAATTTGACAGGTTTCCAACGTACTGTTAAAATGTTGCCCCCAATCTGAAAGTTTTAGTGCTGAATCACAAGAAGGGGACTGTCACAAAATCGTTACATGTCACAAATCACAGATTTTTTTAATGATGCTTACAGGACTTAAAGGATCTGCTGCTAACATCTTGGTGTCATATACCACCAGACACCTTTAGTGGTTTTTCCTCGTTAGTGGGAGTCCTCGTCTCCGTGCTTCAGAGCTGTTTTGATGGCACATCGAGGACCAACAGCAAATTAGGCAGGGCTTATCTGTGTATATTTAAGAATAGAAACAACAGAAATCGCAAATGTAATCTAGCATTCATATGCATGATGTGTGTGCTGTTATGTAAATTAGCTTACAGCAGCGTTCAGTTACACTGAGATGTTTTATTTATTTTTAAAGCCCACAGTAAGTCATGCTGTACTCTAAACCACATTGAGCAGTCTGCATAACGTTAACGAAGACCTGGATGTGGTTTGAGTGAGTTGAGAGAAATTCTGGGGATGTATTTATGGAAGATCTGGGTGTCTATTGATGTGTTTATTAGCAACATTAGCCTCATGGCTCCAGCACTAAAATTAAAAGGCAACATTTGGACTCCAAACATGTCTTGGCTGATCAACTACATTTAGGGTAAGCAGAAACTTGTGTAAATTCAATTTTTTATTTTACCAAACCGTTCTTTTAATTGGGACCTCTACAGTAATAGCATCTGCTCTTTTAGGACAACTACACTAGATGCAACATTCCTGTGAGGATTTGATTGCATTCCACCACAAGAGTATTGGTGAGGTCAGGTATTAATATTGGATGATTACTCCAACTCCTCCCAAAAGTATTGAATGGTACTCGATCACTCTAGAGAATGCAGTTCCACTGCTCTACAGCCTAATGTTGGGGTGATTTTTACCCCTCTAGCCAATACTTGGCATTGGGCATGGTGACCTTCGGCTCATGTGCACCTTCTCTAGAGCGTCTTATTCTATAAGCAGTACTTTCCTATGATGATTACACAAGCTGTATGTAGGCAGTTGAATGGCCATATCAGCAGTGGGTGCACCTTGAAGTAGATGAATTCACTAATTAAAAGGGGTGTTTGGCTGGTTATTTTAAACCAGCAAAGAAAATCAATGAAGAAAACATGGATGAGCTAACCTATTGTATAGTTGATGCAAATTGCTAAAATCTAAAATGTTCTCTCAGTGCTGGTGCTGTAGTTATAAAAGCCATCATACATTGAGACATAATGCATTCACAAACTAAAATTACAACTTGTGAACATGTTGTTACCTGGTAACTGAAGCAGCCATGTCTTTGTGCAGTTATATCTGGGTATGTACTGAGCACCTAGAGTAGGAATAGAGCAGTGCAGAATCCATTTGTCCATATAAAAGTGTTCAGTAGAACCCAGTTCTAGGAACACTTCTTTAATACTCTTGGCTATGCACATCTTTTTGGTCAGTGCCCAGCATTCTCACGCATCGCTGACATTAACAGACTCTGCTGGTGCTTCCTGAAATCATGCAGTGTCTGCATTTATGACCGTGATGACCTATATAAACGAAGGTTTCTCTTACACAAACTAATTCTTTTGACAGCTTTATCGATTTGACTTTTCCTGTGGATTCAGCTTTAACATTACTTAAGCAATGACTTTACTGAATGTACTTAGAACAGTTTTATATAGAGCAAAGGAAAACAGTCTTACATGGATTAAGGCTTGTTCAATACTACACTCATTTTAATGGAGAAGCTCCTTTCAGAATGCTGTTTATAGGTTAGTGTAGGTTTAATCAATGTTGAGTAGCCAACCCAGAGGCTTAGACACGGCCGTTACAATGATTAATTCTTCGTCAAGATTTGGACCTCTTTAATCTCTTGGGGACAAGAAAAAAAGGGCTCCTACATTTACATTTATTTCATAACACTTTTTCATATGAAGCAGAAAAAAACAGTATCATGATTTTCCAAATTCTAGTATTCTAGTTTGTTTTGGAAAATGATAAAAATAATTATATATTTGTATTTCGGATGGAACTTCAAACTAGTTTATAGCTTGTAGCAATATAGTTGCTGTTGGTGCGAAACCTTCTCCATGTTTGCTTTTTGTGTGCTTTTAACGTAATTTGAAAATGTCAGCCACCGTTTGCACTGTGTCAAAATCTTATTACTAACTGACCTATAGAAGTGGCCTAAAATTACTCCAAATAAAATCTAGAAAAGCTAGGCCTTCTTTGAAGGTTTTGCTCCAATGGAATGCGTTTGGGATTTCTTGGATTGTGAGAAGCAACCAACTTCTAAGACTGAACTTTGAAAGCATAGAAAAATGTCCATAGATTTCTTTGGAAAGCGGAAAGCAAGTCTCCCAAAATGAATAGAAGCTGTAAAGAAGGCAAAGTGTAAACTAAATACTGAAAAAATCAGTATTGTATTTAGTTGTTGAGGCTTCTGTTAAAGATATGTTTTCTGCCTTTTTCTGATGCTAAAAAAATAATGATGTGTATTTATTTGCTGTTTTGCCTGTAAATTAAATCAGTAAAAAAGATGGTCTCTGAATTTTGCACATTGTATATATAAAATTGCCAGTGGTGGGCCTTGTACAGTTAAACTCTCTCTCTCTCTCTCTCTCTCTCTCTCTCTCTCTCTCTCTCAGGAAATAAGTCCCAGGACAGTGGCATTGCCGAGATGGAGGAGCTTCCAGTTCCGCAGCACATCAAAATCAGCAACATCACCTGCGACTCCTTCAAAATTTGCTGGGACATGGACTCCAGGGCCAAGGAGCGCATTACGCACTATTTCATCGACCTCAACAAGAAAGAGAACAAGAATGCCAACAAGTTCAAACACAAGGTGTGTACAAATTATCCTCACAACGTGTCATTCAGTGACCAACCTTTACCAGGACAAAAATGACAGATGTAATATGCTATCATGATTTGTTATGACTGATTTGGTTCAGTAATCTAAGTGTCATGTTATCAATACTGAAAATTGTCATTATTAATGTCATAATGTTTGATGTCATGATGACAAAATACAGTACACTTAGCATGTGACATAAGCTGTTGTCAACCAAACAACATCTGAAGCAGTCTAGAACCCTACGTTCCGGTCCAGGAGGATGTCACAGTTTGATATTTTCTCTGCTCTAACACACCAACTTAACCTGGTAACTAACTGCTGAGTTGAACCAGGTCTGTTGGAGCTGGAAGCCCACCAAACTGTGCTGAACGCTAGCCCTCCAGACTCCGAACTGACTATCAACATGACTGTTCAGGAATGCTGAGAGCATGTTCACGAATCTGTTCCTCTATCTTCCCCCCTCCTCCTGCCAGGATGTGCCCACTAAGCTGGTAGCGAAGGCCGTGCCACTGCCCATGACGGTGAGGGGACACTGGTTCCTAAGCCCCCGCACCGAATACACTGTAGCAGTGCAGACTGCATCTAAACAGGGTGACGGAGACTACGCCGTCTCCGACTGGAGCGAGATAGTGGAGTTCTGCACAGCCGGTTAGAGCCTTTCTTCCTGACTTTCCTTTCTATTTATAGCTGAGTGTTGTAAAATATACCCAAAGCATTAGCAAAAAACTGTTGTATGTTCACAAAACCTGTGTGGATAACAGTCTGAACATTTAAAAAGAGTTTAAAAAAGACAGTTGTGTCAGGCAGTATAACTACTAGTCTCTCACAAAGCCTGGCCTACTGAAACAACTTCACTGACAATTGTCTGTAAATCTTCTTAGTTTCTTAGTTACCAAAGCTCAATCATGTTGTAGTATCTGTTGCTATGGTTTCTTCAGACTGAGACTCATTCTGGTGCTTCATTTTCATTCTCTTTCTTGTCTAGATTACTCCACGGTCCATCTCACGCAGCTTCTGGAGAAAGCGGAGGCCATCGCAGGCAGAATGCTCTGCTTCTCTGTGTTCTACCGAAACCAGCACAAAGAGTACTTTGACCATGCAAGGCATGTACCTACACTGCTTTTACTATGACATAATGAAACCTCTTCTACTAATCCTCTTTCTGAATTGTAAAATATATGATAGGCTGCGTGAAGCTGTCTGACGGGCCAGTAGTTTGAGACCCCTGTGCTAGATAAACTCTAAAGAGAACCTCAATAAAAGGCTTCTTTGTAAACAAAGTTCTTGCTAAAGCATGAGTAGACTGATAAATCAAAGTGAGGAGCCAGTTGAGCTCAGTGGTAATAAGCCCTTTTGAGGGGTGATCGAACTGAACGGTCTCCTCAGTAGTGAACATGTGACAAGTTTAGTATCTGTGTTGTACAGCACGTGTGCATGCATTTCATTGTTTGATATTATGTTATTAACTGAACATTGCATAGATTCCCTCTTCTTAGTCAAACTTACAAGAGTTCGTTACTGATATGCCAAATTTTGTTATAGTAAATATGTATTTATTTATTTTAATGTTCTAGTTTGGTGAGTTTAGCAAAAATGGGACAATATGTGTTACACAATATGCATGCAGATTCTCCAAATTATATTTAATTATTCATGCATACTGTGTAACACATATTGTCCCATTTTTGCTAAACTCACCGAACTAGAACTTGGTTTTAAGTACTGTCTCACCTTTGCTGGCTATATTAGAAAAAAAAATCTGAGAGATGCAGAAATTGTGTTAAAATGTGTGGTAAAATACCATATTTAAGATTGTTGTCTGAAGAGGATGTGTTAACTTATTTTCCTTTAGGAAAACAATTTTGACTGGTTTAAAATTATTTGACTGAGGATTTTCAAACTTTTGCATATGACTGTTTCACACAGAAGAAATGTAGGACGAAAACTGCCGACCAGTAACCAGGAACAGTGTGAATTAAAGGTGCAGTGTGTAAGATTTAGTGGCATCTAGTGGTGAGGTTGCAGATTGTAACTAACTGAATACTCCTCTGTGTCCAAGCTTGTAGTTGAACCTATGGTGGCCAACACATTTTCTGCTGTCGCCTGTCTCGATTTTGTTTTGCTTCTTCATTTTTTGCTTCTTTGATGATGAAGATTCACCCTCCCTAACTTTTTCTTCTGATAAATAATAAGTATGATCCACCATTTGTCCAAATTTAGGTTCTTTAACTTGTCACAACACAAAACAGTTAGCCAGCACTGGCAGCTGCTTCAATGTAAAAACGCAAAAGGCACTCTCTAGAACCAGTGTTTGGTTTGTCCGTTTTGAGCTACTGTAGAAACATGGAGGTACAACATGGTGGCCTCTGTTGGAAGAGGACCCACTCCCCATGTTGATTTGAAGGGCTCATTTGAAGCTAAAGAGAACACAATGATTTATAGGTCCAGGTGATTATACATTAATGGAAACATTTGTATACTATATTCCATTTCTGCTAATAGATGACCAAAAAATCTTACACACTGCACCATTAAGTCAAAATAGCAACAGCAAAGTTTTCTCCAAGTGCCGTGTTAAGATGTATTATGAATGTATTTAAAATGTATTCTTAATATGTAACTTAATTTAAAAAATAATACATTACTGAACACATTTAGGACAGTGCATTCAGCATTTAGCCAGCATTACCTTTATAAAGTACTCTGCCCAACAATGATTACGGCAACTACTGCACTTTTTAACTCAATATAACCAGTAGTGCCACTGATGCAGAATGAACGACTGTTTAACACACTCTTTTAAATACCTACTGTTCTATAATAATACAATCTTTTTACCAGTTATTTATTGAGAAACTCTTTCAACAGGCCTTGAAACTCGCTCACAACGGATGAATGTGAGAGACTTTCCGTTCCTTATTCTCACACGCTTCCCTGAGCACAGTCATCAGTGAAATATCTGTGGGGGCAGTTGCTTCTGCAGTTGAAGTTAATGGAGCTGACAAAAGAGCTCTATTAAATCTGCCACAAAAGTAAAATGGAGATGAAATGAAATGGGAGAAGCACCTTGGAATCCAATTAGCTGCATTTGCTTTCCATGAGAAAGCGCTTGATAGGCCTGCTGAGATCTATGAGTGGCAGTTGGCAGTGACAGACTCTACAGAGAGATGTTTAAATAGGCCATCTTTATTCTTTTCCTTTCCTCTCACTCTCTCCTGCCTCTATCGCTCCATCACAAACTTAAGCTCTGCTCTCTGATCATCCATTGCTTCATCATCTTCTGCATAGACTTGTGCTATTTATAGTTTGGCTTTATTCACTTATCAGATGCTGTTTGACATCACAGCGTCTGAACACATCAATATTGCCTTTGTTGCCTTCACGCATCCAAGTAATTAATGATTTTGAGCAGGACCTAATTAGATACTTTTGTGGTATGGAGGGTGGAGCTGAGGATTGCAGCTGTTTCTATGTTTCTTGATTCTTCATTTTCTTTGACCTTTTAACACCTAAGCTTAAAAATGGTCATATGAGAGTATCTTTATATTTTTGACTGTAGGGCGGTGATATATAACACCATCATTAACACCTGATCTACCTCCTCTGATTCAACAAAGTACAGTACCCAGCATGCAAATACAGTCATTGGGAATCCCTGTGCACTCTCAAAAAAAAGGTACAAAACGGTCACTGGGGCAGTATCCCTCTTGTCACTGGGGTGGGACCCTCAAGGGTCTCGTCTCTTTTCACTTTATTGTTCCGTTTTACAAAATTAGGTTATGAAAAGGTACAAACATGTACTTTTCCACTGGGAAAAACTTATTTAAGGTATACAATTGGATCTTAAAACCACTGTTGTACCTTGAGGGCACATTTACAGTATTTGTATATATACATGAACGTGAAATGAACAAAAAACCTGAACAAAAAACGTTTTAAAAACAGAAATCTTTAGCAATGGTTTTTTCATTCATGCAATATTAATGTAAAACATAACACCCAATGCCTTGATGTATTCAAGTACTGGGATGTCAAACAGCATCTGCTAAGTGAATAAAGCCTAGATTGGATCTGCTGGATGATATATTCAAGTATTCAACAGCTGCCAAGCATTGAAAAGAACCCTTAAAAACCTTTGTAGAAAAAATGGCCGCTATGTCTAGATCTTTGGTTTCATTCAAGTCATTCAAGTTGAATGAATGTGTTGTAAATATGTTGCAGTGAGGGTTTAATGAATTCTGAATGATATTTGAATGAATGACTGAAGCCTGATGTTGCTGTTTTGATGTGATATTTACAGTGCATGTCCCCTTGTCGTTTCAGGGAGGCCCAAAACAACAAGATGCTGCCATCGGTGAAGGACAACAGCGGGAGCCATGGCTCGCCTATCAGTGGGAAGCTAGAGGGCATTTTCTTCAGCTGTAACACCGAGTTCAACACAGGCAAGCCACCACAGGACTCTCCATACGGCCGCTACCGCTTCCAGGTGCCAGCCGAGGTGCTCTTCAACCCTGGCACCAACCTGTACTTCGCCGACTTCTACTGCATGTACACGGCCTACCACTACGTCATCCTGGTGCTTGCACCACGTGGCTCACCGGGAGACGACTTCTGCAAGCAAAGGCTCCCCCTGCTGGACATCGCTGACAACCGCTTCCTGACATGCGTGCAGGACGAGGATGGGCGCCTGACCTTCCGCCACGCTCAGGACCTCATCCTGGAGGTCATCTACACGGACCCAGTGGACCTGAGCCTGGGCACGGTGGCAGAGATTAGTGGTCACCAGCTAATGAGCCTGTCCACAGTCAATGCCAAGAAGGACCCCAGCTGCAAAACCTGCAACATCAGCGTGGGCCGCTAGCCAACCCACTTGACCTTCAACCCCTGGACGTCTCATTCAACATCTTGTATTTCCCCATCCCACCCCTTTTTCCCTGAGGTCTCTTCTCCAACCCACCCATAATCTCCCTTTTGGGGCCTGAAGGTTCTCCACAGCAGTTGTTCCCAACCCTGGTCCTGGAAGGTCCCTGCCCCGCACATTTTGGTGTTTTTCCCGCTCAGCCACACATATAAATTGCAGTGGGAATGGGGGACACTTTTCAGAATCCAAAATTTTTGTCCCCTCCCATTTTCCAAGTTAGTTAGAGGTTGTATGGGAAATTGCTAAACGTGGTAAACTCTTCATGGCCAACTGTAATAACTCAAATTTTTAAACTGTAAGTGAGAGTGGTAAGAGTAAAACGTTTTTTGTTTTTCCTCTTGGAAAGTAAAATGGAAGTAAAAAGGACTCAGTATTCACTTTCAATAGTACTCGAGTACAGTAAAAACCTTCCAAAATAATACATAAATATAGTAACAAAGCACAAATACTACAAGTATTTTCCACCCATTTGTGTCGATCAGTCTGCTACACTTATTTCCATGGTTACACTACACTTGTTTCCCTGGCTACACTAAAGATTTCTAAGAACACACAACCCATTACTGGCTAAATGCTATTATGGTGTAGATGAAGAGGCAAAGAAATTGCCGCATCTTCAAAACTATCAAGCATGAAACAAAGAAAGGAGATGTACATCATTTGCTGAGAGGATAATCATTTCTGTCAGCAATAACTTCAATAACTTTACAGTACTGTCCAAGTTCATAGTGCCCCTAATGTTTAATTTTCCTGCATATAACATGTTTTCCACACATGGGACACATATCTACATGCTTAATTGGAGTTTTTTGGGAGGGTAGTTTTCAGCCATGCTAACTTATTACATCCACAGGCTAATGACAGGCTTATGTCTGTCGGACAATTTTGATGCCCACTATTTTGTGGCGCTCCTTCAAGAAATGTCAAATTGGTTTTGAAATAATAATAATAATAATAATAATAATAATAATTTTTATTGATACAGCACTTTTCATGCTGGTGGCAGCTCAAAGTGCTTTACAGACAGGTAATAAAACATAGTCATACAAGTCCAGATGTTACATTCAGTTTGTTCTCACCCTAATAATCTACATTCCCACCCACTTTGAACCAAAATTTTCTCATGGTTGTCCCCAGACGTTCTCTTTATGAGATCACGTCTGGCCCTGCGAGACCACTTGCGCACTAGGAGCATAACGATGCACGTATTTTCATGTTCAATTCTGAGGTCGAGAGTTAGTAAGATTTTTAAAAATGTTAAAAATAATTCTAGAGAGCTCTAATTAAATACTGCACAGACTGGTTTAGCTCAGATAAATAAAAGTTCTCAGTATTACCTTTTAAATCCTCTGAGCTCTAACAAAATAAACTCCAAAAAAATCACAACCCTTAGAATTTATAATTGATTCATGAAAAGTCATTTGAGTGCGGGTGCATGAATAGCATAAGCCCCACCCCTTCATGCCCTCTTTACTCTGCCAGGATACACCCAGATACCTCTTTCACAGTGGTTTCCCTGAAAGATAATAAATGAGAGACCCTCAGAAGAGACAGAGGGGCGTACTGGAGATGTACTGGTTTTTTGACACCAGTATTCTCTATGAATGAGAAACAAATGAATCCTTCGTTTGTTCTGATCAGGAAAAGAGTTAAAAAATAATTCACTAAAAATACCCTAAACACTGGTGGAGCCATCCAGTGGTTTGAGGGCCTTATACCGCTTAGAAATTGATCAGGTATGGATCTGGAAAACACTGACATGAGGAGGACAGGGTTAATCCAGGACCAGGATTTGGATACACTGCCCTATAGCATGCATCTCAGCATTTAACCAAACAATCTTTTCTTTTCTGGGTTAGATACACTGTACCCCTATTTTTCTGTGCATTGGGATGTGTTGATGGAATCATCCTTCTGTCTGTTAAAACACAACATTCCTTTAAACCCCCATTGGCTGTGAAAATCAAACAAAGTTTCCCTCGCATTATAGAGCTGCGACAAAACATTTTTTGCCAAAGGTGACGACTTAAAGTAGGTAGCAGGTGAAGCTGCTCTAGTCGACCAATTGTAGCCGAATTTAACGAGGCATTATAGATGTGTACTAATGATGCACACTTTATCAGATCATTCTAAAGAGCATGGTAGACCTTCCTGCAGCATGAAAACTAATAACGAAAAACTAAGACGTTAGCACTTCTGTAATTGTTGTTCTCCAGTGTTTCATGTTATTTATTCAAACTGAAACCACATGCTGTGTTTAACACAACAAATAAAAAATGCAGAGAAATATAAATAGAAAAATATTTATTTTTTACTGGTGTATAGAAAATGGACGGAACCAGAAGTGCACAATAGCGAGGACTTTTTGTGGCAAGAAACAGATTCACAGTAGAGCAAAATGAATAAAAAATTACAGAAATAAAGAAAAACTCACACAAATTTACTGCATAAACCAATGCAAAAAGAAACGTGCACTAAAAGCTAACATTCAAATAGAGTAGTCGGTCATTGCGGCTGTGCACATCGAATCCGATCTGGAACATTAGCAAATATGACACGGAACAAACCACACCTGATTGCAGAACAATTCAACAACCTTTTTTTTGAAGTTGGCTGGCATGCAGAGACACTAAACACGACTGTAACAGGTCATTGCAGTTGAAACGGCGGAGAAGGAGAGATTCATTGTTTCATTTGGAGAGAGCAGAACTGCACTTGTGAAGTGCCACATCTGCCATTTCGCATATCTCCTGCTTCTGTACTGTTACATAGTTTCAGACAGGACGGGTCAGGTAGCTTTCAAGGGGCTTTTTGTTTGGTGCCGTTTCAATACTTTTAGTAACATGCCCTCGCCAACTTTGTCTCACCCCTCAGAGGTGCGTTACACCTACGTTACACAGGTGGCCACTCAGTAGAAGGGGAGGAGGGGCCCTCAGCTAGGTTATCCTCAGCATGCTGCTAATCAGCTAGCCATGCAAAACATAACATACATAAAACTTGTGAATAACTGCTTTGTCTCACTATAAATGTGTATTGCCTTTAATTTTGTTGTTATTAACCGTGTAGCCTTTGGCTTGCTAACTAGCAAGCTAGCAGAGTAAAGTGATAAAGTTGTAGCAGCAGTCATGTCTAACAGATGGAGTAGTTTGCATCATAAAGTCAATAAAATCTATGCTATGAAATACTAAGCATATTAAATTAGATTTCTGCTATGGCTTATGAACATCTTTGACCATTTTGTACTAGTTTGAAATTGGAAATGCGTCAAAGATTTCTGGGCGATGTTCTCCTGCTAAATTTGACAATTGTGCAGCCCCTCAATGGCTCATCTCACAAAGTTCAGTTAATAAAGTAATGGAACGGCCCTTAAGATGGCATCCAGGATTCCCCTGAGGCGATATGCTGAGGCCATGGTGACGAGGACAAGTTACAGCCAGTATTGAAACGGATGGCTCATTTCAATATGTTGGATTGTACAAATGAGGACCATTGCGCTTCATGGTAGAGCAGAGTGATGCTGCTCTTCTGTCTCTCGAAGCAAAATGTTTCTTAAAAACCTGCTTTCTTTGCCATTTAGCTCGTCCTTCAAAGGGACTCTACTAGTAATGCTTCTCTTTTTGTGCTGCAGTCATTCCAGTTGCTTTCCTTCATTATGGCAAAGTAGGTAGATCCATTCTGTATCATTCATGTTCTATATCGATTTACCATTGATAGCACTGTTTGTTTCAGGGAGCTACTGAGTTTGCATATGATTGTAATTCTAAGTGCTCAAGGTTATATTCCACATTTAGCATTAGGAATAGGTGCTAGACTTGGTTAAAGCACAGACCCCTGAGGATCACAGGCTGACCATCATGTCATTAAGGACACAAACTCAGATCAGAACAAGAAACTGAGAAAACAAAATTGCATATTCATTCAGGCTTTGGTTATCAAAACAAAGAAATCTCTTCAAAAAAACACTGTAAAGTGCCATATTTCATAAGCATAGCCTCGATAAACACCTTTTTGTTGTTTTTTTTTTTTCTATTGAAAATACACACAAGCTGTCGGTATCCACTGAGGTCAGAATGAAGTATCAGCACAATACAGAACAGACACCTGTATTTACATGGTATGTCATGCAGTAGCCATGTACAGGCTTCAGATTCAGATAAAACCCTATGGGCTGGTTTCTCAGACAGGATAAAGCCTAGTCTTGCACTAAATTGCACGCTTATTCTGGGTCTGGGAAACTGACCCTATGTATGGGGCATATGGGCAGCTTAAAATAGACTCAATGTTAAAGTGCATTGTAGTGTTATTATGGCACGAGCACATCAAATGTAAGAAAACAAAAAAAAACATGTTTTGGTCCAAACATCTGGGTCTGTACTGAAAGGCAAACAGGGATATATATATGCACATTTCACATAGTCTTTGTGGTTTCCTGTTTGCTGAGCAGAACCTCCAGCAAGCGCAGTTTGGCTTTGAGGCTTTTGTACTCCTGGTATTCCTCTGCCATTGGAATCCGGTCATCCTTTTGTGCAGTCCTTATGTGAATTAAAAGAAAAAGGAGAAAAAAAAGAAAACACAAAAAAGAAAGATTAATAGAAACCATGTGAGCCCAGCTGAGCAGTGAGATTAATCCTTGTGTTGCCTTATTGAAATAGTTTTGTACATCGGTGGATATCAGCTAAACAGAAGAGAAATGTATTTTATTTTCTGCGAATTTGCAAATACTGTGTACAGAATCACTGTATTTTTTTCTCTCTTTCTCTCTTTCCCTGTCAGTTTCTGTTGTGTATTGCCGACTAGGTGTGCATTAAGCTAACTGTAATTGAAACTCTGTTTGTCTTTTTTTTTGTTTCTCGTCTTGTTCATGTTTTAAAAAAGGCAAACGTAACATGAGTGTTCATTAAAACATGTTAACGCCACTGCAGTGTGTCGCTTGAGTGCTACCTGCCCATCTGTCTGAAGAACTGCTCCTCGAACTCTCTGATGGCTTTCCGTCTCCTCTTCTTCTCCGCTCGAGTCTCTCGCAGACACTCCAGCAGCTCAGACCTGGAATCCATTCAGCTCCATTTATATTTGCACCACAATGCTCAGTAAACCCCTTATCACCCATCAGTGCAGCTCAGATTATAATCTGCACTCAACCTTGGTGCCTAAAACCAGCCTGGGTTTAAACCAGGGGTTTAAGCTCTGGTTGCCTCTAACTGTGTCAAGCTGTAAAAAGTATCTCAAATAAATCTCAAATAAATTTGCTTTAGTTACACATTAGTATAGCTAAAACCAGTATCATAAGATATTCTGAGGCCTGAATTCTACCTGCACTTTTGTCCATTTATGTTTGACACATAAGCAAGTCAATTTCAGATGATCTATCAACTTGATAGGGTTTTATTGATCTAAATGACTTATTTGCAGTGGTAAACCACGGTTATTAGAGCTAGGCCTTCAATATAAATGTCAAAACTCGGTCTAACCATCAGGAAAAAAAAACATCTTTATGATAATTCTAACTTCTGCTAGCGTCCCTATGGGACTCTATTAGCTTGTTAGTGATAAGATAATTTGTATGAACATTTTTGGATGTTCTAGATTAAACACAGACGTGAAGCATCCAAAAGTCATTGCATGTTTTACTTGAAGCTTGTAACAGACACATCAGCATATGTTTTACCATGTAGCAGTTTCACAGTGACTCTTTCCATATAGAGGTCTGGTACAGAGCCCTCTATATAATGTTTTCCATTTCTAACAGCCCATGTAGCTAAACATAAAGTTTTAATGAATGTTCCAGGAACATCAGGAGTTGTTTTTAGTTGGGGGTGCTGAAATTTTAAGCAGCATATAAATGACATTCATGCTTTTCTGACTCATTCTGGACAAAAAATATATAGATGACCTGAGCAGCGACCAATCAGATTTTTGATGTGGTGTAAAACTGTGTTTATAGTCAAGCTACACACTGAAGATTCAATACTCAAACGCAGACTAAGAGGAAGAAATATTGGTTGGGGGAAAATTGGAATCAAAACATGGGGCATTATTATATTAGTTGATTTTTTAGGCTTAAAAAACAATATTAGGTCGCTTCAGGGCTTTGAACTAGTCTACAACTCTGTATACACTTTCACTCTGGACTCTACACTAGCTTGTGTTTAGCAACATGCCCCCAGAGCAGGCAAGAGTTGGAGAGGGAAGTGAGACAGCTCACTGCAATGAAAATGCAACATTAACTTAAACAGGGCATGGCTACTGGCAGGCTTTAAAAATACATAGACCATTAAAGGGCTCATTTGCAACATTTTATCCAACATTTATCCTTTCCCTAACAGTTGTGTGGGTTTATGTACTAAAAACAGTCATACTGTGTCATAATCATAGTGTCAGTCTATTCTGATTGACTGCCCTGTTTTGTGCCTCATTCAAAATGCACTAGCTGATAAACTGCCGTAGGTCGAATGGACAGATATATGTAAATGCATTGGTTTTTGTGATATAACAAAAACAACTAATTTAAAATGGGCTGTTTTTGCAACTTCTGCATATGAACCGTATGGACTGGATGGTCAACGGTACATCTTGAAACCTTAACAAATGTTTCCATACTACAATAAATTTTAATATTTCAAACTATTTTCAAACAAAAATTGGTTCTCCATCATATGGGCACTTCAAATAAAAATACACACACTGGACTTTGCTATATTCAGATTAAAGAAGATAAATCTGGGTATGTTGCAGCCCCTTCATCACTCCTGTTTCCTGTGACATCTTGATCAGGGTCATGGTGAGGGCCTACCTGGAAGCCGCATGCAGGTTGGACATGGTGATGGCTGGTTTTTGCATTGCTTTCACTTCATCTAGTGGAGAGACGAAGGCAGGGTCGCTGTCCCCTTCCTCCTCGTCCTCATCCACTGACTCTGGCGTGGGTTGCCGTGGGACTGGTGGCGTTTGCTGCGCGTAATCTTCATCAGATCCTTCCTCTTCCTCCTTAACCCAGAGAAAATCCAAAAGAAAGAAGGCTGAAGTGAATAAAGTCAAAAAGGAAAAGATGCTTGGGGATATCTTGATGGTAACCTTCAGAGCCTTCTAGGCCTTCAGAGAAGGCCTATTGATTTCTTACTGAAAATACCTGTGTGATATTTATTTGATTTTTATTTAGTAGAATCATGTTTGCATTTAAACTCTTTCATTGTTAAGTTCTGGATGGAAACAACAGGGTTACATTTTTAGCCAATCAGAAATTGTTTCTCTCTGTGGTTTCTAGGTAGATTGGTTAGGCCTTCAGGAGCTAAAGAGAAGTCCTAAAACATTAGGTTAGCCACCAGCATAATTACAAAGTAACAGAGGAATCCAATCCAAGTGGCAGCCTAATCAAAGGGTTGTTAGAAACTGTGGCGGCAGCTCTCCACCAGGTCTCTCTACTGAAAAAGTCACTGTGAAACTGCTACAAGGTCAAACATATTGTTTGTGTCCGAAGAAAAACAAATATCTTTAAAAAGGTACAGGGCAGGACAAAAATGTTCTTGAATTTTTTTATTCCAAGCAAATTTGGAGCATTTGAACTGTTGCATTCACCATGAAATGTTCACACAATGTAAAGGACAGCTGCTGTGCCCAAATAATATAGAATAGTAAAAAAATGGAGATACGTGATACGTTTTCTTTAGATGGCGCCAATATGCTAATATAATATCACAAGATTCGAGTAAAAAATGGAATGTCTTCTAGAAGCTTCAAATGTTTTTGTTTAATCTAGAGAACCCAAAAAATGTTCATGCGAATCTGCATTAGCTTAGCGTTAACAAACTACTAGAATCCCATGACACTAGCAGAGGTTAGCATTATTGTAGAGGTGGATTTTTTCCTCATGTTTTGACATTTATGGCTCAAACTGAAGGCCTAGCTCTAATAATCATGACTCACCACTGCCTTATAGTTATGCATCTGATTTAGTAGCAGGCTAAGATGCTAACACATATTTTCCATCTAAATTGCTTTCATTGTTCTCCACAGTTTCAATATGAGATAATAAAAAAGTTTAATGTCATTTAATAGAGCAGGACTAAGAAACTATACACACAGAACTGACTTGGACTTAGCTGAGATGCTAAGCATTGCTAAGTTTTGCTCTTTGTGGTCTTGACTGAAATTTTCTGTTATTGCAGCGCTTGTAACAGACATATGAGTCATTTTATGCATTCCTGTGCCATTATAACCCAGTCAAGGTCTGTGTGTTAGCACAGCCAGGCCACACTTACTATGGTGGTTATTGTAGGAGTGGCACACAGAAGGTGCTTGACCATCTGGTATCGGTCATACAGTGGCTTCACCAGGTTCTTCTCCTGCTTGGTGCCCTGCAACAGTGCAGCCATATTGTAAGACACACACAAGCACAACTTTTAAGCAAATCAGCCTTTAGCTCTCTCTTCTATGGATGGACAGATCAATACCAAAGTAGCAATATGTCTGATTTTTTTTTTTTGAGAATCGATTCTCACATGACAGCTTTTTTATTGGATGCAAAGAGCTAAAGTGTAGAGCTAGCTTGCATGGATTTTCTCCACCTTTTAATGTGGAATTACACAGATTTTTCACATTCTTTTGCATTATTTTAAGTGTTTAGATTGAAAGAATGGTGAATTGTAAAGAAACATTAGATACAGACTCTGATTTTTGTATCAGTAGTGCTAATAGGAATCAGGAGTAATGATGTCTACAATGCAAATGTAGCACATGTATTTATTATCCAAAACAACCAGTGAACCTACGTGTCGTTTTTATATGTAATACTGATAATGGAGAAACAGTAGTAAATCTGAAACAGTGGTAAATCTTTGAGTACTACTTCACCCTTACAAAACATCTCCACCATCAATGGCTTAAAAAATATGTTTTAGGCCATAAATCTAATCTCAACTGTAACTACTAAACAATGTATTAGGCAGCGTATTTGTAACCATTAAATGCCTCAGATGTCTGGTCCCCATCTGCACTGCTGTGGACAATTCTGTCTTGGCTTCTCTAGAATGGAGCATTTCACATCAAACCACTCTGAAGGACTCTGTTTACATCTTAATCATTTTATTTATCATGCAGAAAATTTGAAAAATAAGTGGAATTTCCAAACTAAACCAGTATTTGCAGTAATGCCTCCAAGGAGAGTTGCTGGGAGACTTCCTTTAACAATGCCAGCAGACAGTGTGGCTAGAATGCAAGCTGAAATAATGTTTAGCAACAGAATAACATTATTTAAACTCTTGAGGCCAGAGGTACATGTGTAAACAGATGCAAAGCAAAATATGCTGTGGGGTGCGGCTGCAATATTCTTTTTTTTAGCATTAATTATAATAACTATTTTCTTTTAAATGGAAGGTGTTTTGGTGCTGAATAAGTAGAGAAAAATGATTTCAGCAAATAACTGAGTAGAATAAGAGCTCTCTCTCTACACTTCATACATGAATAGCAGTAATAAAAATATTATAACATATAACGACTGCATTTTTACTGTAGAAAGCGATGTTTCTTTCCAATTTATTTGCATAAGAAGACTTTTGGAGAGCCTGTATCCTACACTTTTTTTGTATTTAATTTTTTCTTTGAGGTCCACTTATAATATTTGTGTGGTTTTATATACCAAAAATGGTCATAATTCACTTTTACATGGCTATTTTCCACCCTCTATTTATACCTTAGAAGTTACCAGGCTGCTCCGATACCATGTCTTTAAAGGGGAATTGTGCTCTTTTTTCAAAATATCTGCATCATTAAATGCTTAAGATAAGCAAAGTCAAATGCTCCGTTCTAGAGAAACTTTCCAAGTCAGAATTGCTTACAGTGGTGGTCATGGGAACCAGACGTCTGAAGAGTTCAATGAAAACTTGAAAAACCTGAAAGCTCCCTCACAGAAAGTTATCAGATGAATGAAATGGTTATAAATACACTGCCAGTAATGCTGAGACATTGTTTTTTGATAGTTCAGAGATGAGATTTGGGCCTAAAGTGTATTTTTTAAAATACCTTTACTGCAAAACAGTCAAAACAGGCAAAACAGTCCCCAGATTTCCCACTATTTTACCAACTCAAAAGAAACTCAGAAGAGACTTGTAGGTTCACTGTTTGTTTTGGACTGTAAATAAAATAGCTATCTTAGACATTGTGAGCCTGGTTCCTGTCACCACCCCTATAAAGAAATCTGAGTGAGTAAGTTTCTCTACTATTCACAATTTCTCACCAGACCTTTCTGACAGACTTTGTTTACATCTCAGCCTCTGAATTTTGCAGCAATTTTGCAAAATCTTTGGAACTCTCCTTTAAGACTGTTATAAGATAAATGACCTCCTGTTCTGATTGGCTGTCCTATATTGCACTTCGTTCAAAAAGCACTCGCTACAACACTCTGTAGATCAGGGGTGAAAAGCTCCGGTCCTGGGGGACCAGAATCCAGCACAATTTGGTGATTTACCTGCTCAAACACACCAAATTACATTCATATGTTAATTGCCAGGTTTAGTGGGTGTGTCTGAATAGGGAAACTACCAAACTCTGGAGTTGTGCACCCCTGCTCTAGAACTTCATTATGAATGGGCGGAGTTAAACTGCTGTACACTGAATAGGTAGGTGTTTGTAAATGAGGCAGTACTTGTGACATCACATCAAATTTGTTTTTTCATGAAATGGGCCAACAAAGGGCACATGCCTAATTAGTAGTACTGATATTGGAAAATGACCCTTGGTATTACTTTGTATCAAACAACAAGGTAAGTCAAATGGTAAACATGCTCTTACAGGGCGTCCATGCAGACTCTCAAAATACAGCAGGCATTTCTGAAGCGTGAGCTTCTCTATGGCCATCTGCCTGTGGGTCATCTCCTGAAGAGCGGAGAAGGCACGGTTAATCACTTCATATACCATGGGCCCCTCCGGTTTCGGCAGCATGAACAGAATGGAGCACAGATGGCCTCACCTTCATGTTGTCTGGTAGGCCCAGGGCTTGGCGTTTCTCCCTCAGCCTCTTCAGCAGCAGGTCCACCGTCTCCTCCAGAGAGGGCTTGTGCTGCTGCAGCTCTGTCGCCTCCTGCAGCCCATTGGAGTACCTGCAGACATCGGTGGGGTCACCGTTCTCCTGGCCTCGAGACTCCTCCACAGACTGCCTCAGTTTCAAATCTGAAAGATGGGCATTGAAGCTCTTGTTTGTAGGCTGTAGTTGGGTTAAATTTTTGATAAGAGCTGACCGCTTCTAGATTTGAGCATTATGTTGCATACAGACTGGTTCGGACTGGTTTGGTCGAGTTGCCAGTTTATCAGGTATCCGTACCATGTAGGTGCACTTTGTCGGTTTACAACTCTGAACTGATTTTAAAAAAAAAACTGGCGGTAAATGAGTTTTTACTGAGGACTGTTAATGCGATAACTTGATTTATCATCACCGGGCACATGCCCAATTCAAATTGTGCTTTGAAGCTAAAGGAGGCTCCTGGCAAAAACCCCTCAAAAAAGGATTAGAAAATATATGTTACTATGTGCTCAGAATAGCTCCAACATAAAGACAAGGACATTGCCTACCTTTTAGCTGCTTGCGAGACCTGGCCAGTTCAGTCATGAGCTTAAACATCTCTGGATTGGCCGACTTGTCGTTGTGGGAGGGCTAGAGGAGAGATTAAAGACCATTGAGAACATACAAGCTTACAGTACTGTGCAAAGGTCAAAGACCACCCTTTATTTGTTTTTATTCCAGTCCAACAGCCATTAAGTTATTCATTTTTCACAAGACATTTCTGAAGAGATCAAATATAAGATAATTTACCTGAATAAAGAATGGGGAAGTTAAATGAAAAAACAGGAGTTTCCAAAACTGGAATTATTAAAATTATTAAAAGATAAAGAAATAAAGAAGCTCCTAACAACTGTCCAAGACCTGGTAGGCCACCAAAAATGTCCCCATCAGATCAACAGTTTTTAAAGTATTTCATCTTTGTGAGAGAAGAGCTCCACTCTTCTGTACTGGCTTCCACTGTGAGAAGACGACTCAGCACTATGAGTCTGAAAGGATGTGCAGCTGTCAAGAAGCAGTTACTGTTCTCAGAACAATGGACTGACCATTGACATCAGCATCACTGAAAGTGTTGGGGATTACTTGGATCGTGAGAAGCAGACAGTGCAACCAACTTCTAAGACTGAACTTTGGAGGTGTGTGGAAATATTCTTGGAAGCAAATATCCTGAAATGAATAGAAGCTGTAATAAAAGCAAAGGATAGACACACTAAATCTGCTTTTTCTGAAGCTGAATAATGAATAACTAGGACTTATTGGCTGTTTTGACTGGAAAATAAATGAAAGGTGGATTTTTGCACAGTACTGTATATCATTTAATATGATTACTATCCTTCATTTATAGCAATAAAAGACATCAGTGTGGAGTTTATTAACACTAGTCTGTGTTTTTTTAATGTAACCAATGCACTGCTATTCTGATGCCAATGTTTCCTTTAGGTGCAATAACCGTATCGACCAGCAGAGGGGGCAGTAAGGCAAGGACAGAAAGAAGTCTAGCATTTGCAAGCTGGAAGCTGCTGGGTGTAAGCTAACTGATCAACATTCAAGGTAAGTTTCGTGACATTTTTCCCTGCTCTAAAGCTGCACTGTGTTAAATATCTGACCACTTCCTAATGCTTCTGTACTGCCCAACATCTTTTGCTGGAATTTAAGTATTTAAGGATTCTATACATGGCAAAAGGTTATTACTTACTTACTAGTCTTTTGTTATTGTTCTAATGAATCCACACTGGTCAAGCGTATGTAAATGGGTTTAAAACCCAGCTACAAATGCTCAGCTACAAGTTGTATGAACCTTGTAGTTCATCTCTTGCTCGAAGCGCTCCTCAAACTTGCGGATTTTCCTCTTAAGGGTTTGGATGTGTTTGGTGAGTAGCGGGATGGATGGAGCATCTTTAGCATCATCAGCAGTCACGAGTCTGACCACAGCACGAGGCCTGGGAAAGAGACAAGGATTGCAAGTGAGTTAAAGAAGAGTTCCACAAATCTGCATAATTCATTCAAGTCATTCCGAGTGTTTTGATGTGAAATGGTTCATTTGAACTGATTTCTATACAGTGGTCAGGGCCAGCTTTAGCATTTTGGTTGCCCTAAGCAGGATTTTCTTGGGGGGCCCCCATGTGCCTGGCACTCCCCCAGGCCTACACCTTGTCTAAAAGTAAAAGCGGAGAACGAATTTTTCCTTTAACCCCTTACATAGCCAGCTTTATTACACACTTCTATAACCTAAGAATAGCTTAAACATTTGGCACTTAAGTTCGTGTAGTTACTAAATAATAAACCTTAGTATGTAATAAGCCTGGGATTTTAAGGAGTTAAGGCCTCAAGCTATCTTTTTGAATTGTCACTTATTTGCTTTGTCCTATTCATATTTAGCTGTCTATCTGATGAATACTGTCATGTGATGTTTATTTATTTTCAGTCTTTTTTTGTTTACATTTAATATGGAAAAGATTTAATGAGTTATTGTGTGAATAGCGTTTATACATATAATTATCATATAGTTTTACATAAATGTAGGAACCTAACTTTGTTTACATAACATTAGCAAATCAGTTAGCTTGCTAGCTAATGTCTAAAGATAAAGGCTAGCTAATAACAATGACCATCACAAGTGGACAAAAAAAGCAATTTTTTATATTGCTGATGACTGAATGTTGACAGGGTTCTAACAGCATCTCCATCTAAACTGACTACTTCTTGTTTTCTGACCAAAAGCCTAAACAAATGGCATTATTTTAACACCTCAAAGTGCAACCAAAACATACCTTTATCTTTTAACATCTTCTCCTCATCTTCTGTTTTTTAAGCCATGCTTAATAGGTAGAGCTGGCTCTGAGGGGCCAAATATAGCCATTTTATTTACTATCCAAAAAAGAACCCACACAGGTCTTCTGAGCTTTTATATGTAATGCTGATAATAATAAAATAGTGGTGAATCTGAAAAACTAAGTTTTCTTTAGAGACTATTTTCCCTTGCTGCCTGCACTCACCCTTCTGCCATGAATGGATTTAAAAAAATATGCTTTAGGCCAAAAGCTTACCTCATAAGAAACATAGAGGCATGACATCTGGGCTCGTACTCACAAAGCTTCTTAGAGTAGGAGTGCTGATCTAGGGTCTGTTCCTGTCATTAAAGTCATATTAAATAAGACAGGGATCTGATCCTACATCATCACTCCTTCTTTGAGAAGATTTGTGAATACAGACCCTGGTTTCCATCGTCACCACTATGAACAATTCTATCTTACTTTTCTTTTGAACAGAGCATTTCACATTAGACAACACTGAATGATTTTTTTTACATACTAAGGATTTAGCTATGCATAATTTTTATGGAATTTCCCATTTATATGCATAATGATTATATGCATTATATGCATATGCATAATGATTATGTGCATATGCAGTACATGTTGTGCAGTAAATCACAGCTGGTTGCTCAAAGCAGTATAAGACTGGTCAGCTAGTAGAGAACCTAATGTCAGTGACCATGAAAAAGAACAATCTATTTTAAACTGGGTCACAGAGAAACACAAGGTATGACTGTGTGTGTGTGTGTGTGTGTGTGTGTGTGTGTGTGTGTGTGTGTGTGTGTGTGGGTGTGTGTGTGCTTGAGAGGATTCTAGGTCAGTGTTACAGTTGTTGTTTGTTGGTGGTGTTTTTAATGGCTTGAACACCAAAATAGGCTTCTGACCTAGACAAACACAAACTAGAATCTTAGTCTCTAAGATCATACATAACTGCTGAGCAAAAGCAGAATTACTCATACCATTCATACAAAGATTGCTTATTTCTTTTTAAAGAGTTATTGTTAGAATTTGACAGAGTTTGATAAAGTTTTGAATAAAATGGTCAACATTTTTCTAGAGTGTATTAAGAGTTTTGTGTGTGCATGTACATGATGAAGTGCTGGAAGCAGTGACGGAACTTCGAGAGTGTGTCTGTATGTGTCCTCTGGGTCTGAGTGTATAGTATTGTGAAAAAGTAAGTACACCCCATGAACATATTTTTCACATAGATATTTGATTGTCATTTTAACAGTACTGATGAAATTGAAGTAATTTCCTAAAAAATGAAAAGGGTTGGGAGGAAGTGGCTTCCAATTGGTAGGGCGTTATATGGCGTTTTTCCACTGGACATTTAAAAACAGGAACTAACCTGAACACCTGCTTGAAAAACAACTAGTTTATAATAACTGTGATTAACAATTTTCTTTTTGGTCATTTTATGCTACTCTAAAGTGTCTAATCTGGCTAATTAGCTACCTTTGCTTGCTATTAAGCTTAGCATACTGGCTGATATAAAGTGGTATTCTGCATTGGTTGGTATAGTGTAGTGGGTAACACTGGTGCCTCTGTGCTGTAGACTAGGGTTCAATCCTCCATCTGGGCAAGCACAGCTATGCTATACTGATAAGAGTCCTTGTGCAAGGCTTTTTGCCTACCTGTATAAAAAAAAATAAATGATCAAAATGCCGTAAATGTAAAAATGCATTGCTCTGTGTGCAAACACATTTATACAATTTACACATTTATACTGTTCACAAACTGACACGTTAGCCATTTTACCTGCCAGTTTTTTTAGCATAACATTACTTCTGCTAACATACTTTAGTGCACTCCAGGTACGCAGTTGCTGAGTACACTGTGGTGCCTGATACACTCATACAAGCACCACGTACACTACTATGACACTTCCATGTCACTGCTGTGCTGAGAATGGTCCACTATTCAAATTGTATCTGTGTTCCTACAGTGGTCCCTTTCCACTAATGAACTGGGTGCACCAACAGATGGTATACAGTCAGTAACTGTATAACTACAAAGTGTACCTACACTCACCGATTATTTTATTAGAAACATCTCCTTGTATCTACTCTCATTGTCCATTATATCAGCTTCACTTACCATATAGTAACTCTTTGTAGTTCTACACTTCCAGAGCTGATAAAATAGACATAGATACAAGGAGGTGTTCCTAATAAAATACTCAGTAAGTGTATATTGTCGGAGTTTCTGATAAAATGGCCAATGTAGGTACTACACTGGCAACTCAGTGTGTCTGTATGTGTTCATACATGATAACGTGCTGGGAGCAGGGAGGTGATGGTGCACTCTCTGGGTCTGTGTTGAATCTCTGGCTTAGGCTGAGGCTGGCGCAGCGAGGGGAGGGCAGGGGGCTGTTCCCGTCTGTGATGGAGTAGATGAGCCGACTCGGGCCGGGACTCTGCTGGGGCTCAATGCAATCAATCTCAGCCTGCCTGGGGTCTGCACATACAGAACATGAAATATCAAATAATGAGAAAGCAAGCAGGCCTACTTCAACTCTACTAAGTTTAGAGCACCACATCGAGCCACTTCAGCAGTCACGCTCTCCATTCACAAATCTAGAAGGGTGTGTGAAAACGTGGCAGGTGTCATCACATCTCTAAAAATATATTTTCTCACATCAGTTTCTCTGCCTCTGTAAATGATGTAGATCTCACCAGCAAGCCAGACTTATTTGCTACAAAATCAAAGGCAGCGCTCAGCTCATGTCAGTCCGAAGCCATTCTCAAAACATATCATTTCTTCCATGTGGTCCATATGGCCCATCTACTGTTTTGAACTTGTCAAGGTTGTGAAATCTGCCTATATCTGCCTACTCAGCCCACAGTTGTTTAGCCTGTCCATTCACATTGAGGTGTTTAGGAGATCCAGTCGTGTGCCAAAGTTTGAACACCACTAGTCGAATTACTTGTTTTGTTGGAAATAATTGAAAATAAGTTAACTCATTCTCTGCAGGGAACAAACTTAAATATGGCATATTTCTTTCTATTTGCTGAGTTTAACATATTAAGCTGTTTTTTCTATGAGAGAAATGAATGATGTTTCAAAAATCGCTGCTGCTGCACACTGTTGTGTAGACCGTCAACCTCAGCAAAACACCCAACAGTAACCTCCAAGCTTTGTCAAATGTGGTACTTAAGTGGCTCTGGCAGTAGAAGTCTACTGTTTGAGATGATGGTGTTGAAGTTTAAAGGTATATCTACTCGCATACAACATCATTTCAGTGCACAGGAGTGTTAGCTTGCTTGTAGCATGTATGCATTTATATTTTGACTACTAAATGGCGTTATTCAGAGGATCCAGTGACACTTGTGGGGTGGGTGGCATACACAGGACAGTACATACTGGCTTTGGAACATTTTTGTTTAGGGTGTGATAGCATCGATTTTTGAGTTAATGCCTTAATCCTTCATAGACAAAATCTCCTTAGACCCCGATTTCCTAATATGGGCAAAAGCGCTGACTACAGAATACCACAATTTCAGAGGTCTGTTACAGATCTGTGGCCTTCCAAAGGATCATGACACCTCACCATACCCACCCAGAGAGAGCAAGGCCAGTTATGCTTTATTGGACTCCCAGCCACGGTGACTATGGCATTGCCAAGGATCGAATGTGCAATCTCCTGATGATAGTCCAGACTGCTTTTTTAACAAGGCACAGAGCAGGGCAGCCAATCAGAGCAGAGCTCATTAACACATATCAATCTTAAAGGCATACTATAAAAAACAGCCTGTTGGAACCTAAGGGATAATGGATCTTGCAAAAATGAATTATGACTGGTTTTGGTACATATAACCACAGTTTTATGTAATGTTAGAAGTGGACATCAGGAGGAAAAGCAACATACAAGAAACATGTACAAAAAGGCCTTTAAAGTGAACCTGAAATCGGAATAGACCTTTTTTACCATGGTAATTTATGTTCCTGATCATATTAAGCACAAATGATCATATCATATAATTTAAAAGATAAAATTCCTGTTTTCCCCTATCATGCAGCAGCGGGGTCTCGTGGCCTGTTGCCTTAACCAAAGGCAAAAAGCTGAAAGCTGCTGACAGCGTAAACGACTTGTAATACTTACTGAACTCTGACGCTCTGAGATGTAAACACAGGTGTATGGGATGCATGTGTGAGACAAATGACTTGAAAAATTATGAAACAGAAGCATGAAGAGCTAGAGTAGCTGCTGTGTACACACCATAAGTGTATATATAATAAATATATATATTTATTTATAATGTTGACTGTTGTATCCTTTTAATCACATCCCATCATGGTCAGGTTTCAAATGTGGATTCTATGGATTTTTACAGTAGCCAAAAAATCCATTACAAATTGGCAAGAGGTCCAGAATGATTCCTTACTGGACTGAGAGTGTAACCGCAGCTATAAAAGCAAATTAAATGACACAAACAAGCTGAATGATAAGCAGCATGTGGGATTGGCTCTAGTGGAAGTAGAATGGTGGAGAATAATAACTACCTGATGAAAGCAACACACACACACAGATGTCCTTACATACTCCCCCACACATGCACACCCAGATGCTTGTGAGTCATCGGAGACTAACTGACCTCGCCTGCCACTGCCAAAAAAGATAAACAAAATCTCCATGATGCTGATTTATGTTCTACAAATAGAGGAGTGTAGAGCAGGGGCGGGGGGACGCACACAGAAACAAAAAAAAAGCCGGGAGACCAAATAAAGCCTTTGTCCACTCACTCTCAGCTTACTGTGAAAAGGGAGATAGCAGGAAATCATGAAAGAGAGAGGGAGAGAGATGTAAAAGAAGCTACAGGAGGATGAAAAAAAGTGTGAGGCCAGAGTTGTGTTTACGTGTATGTATTTAGCTCTTTATGGAGACCGGAATTCTCCTGGGTCCAGTTTCAGTACTCTTTCTAACATGCCCTCACACCTAGCTTACCAAAGCGGCCATCTGCAGCATAATGGGGAGGTGGGGACAGTGAAGAGCAGATGCACTCACCCACTGTTAGGTTAGCCTCAGTGTGCTAATGCTACCTACAGTCTGATCCATAAATATATGGACGTCGACAATGTTATTGTTATTTTTGCTATCTACTACAGTTTATTGGAGCTGAAATTAAATAATGAATATGAGCTGAAATATACAGAAATAAAGATTTTCAGCTTTAATTTGATTTACATATAAATCGGGTAGGATTTTTTAGAGGCTCAGACAATCTAATCATAAATTACGTTGCTATTTTTAATACTTGGTTGCAAACCCTTTGCAGCCAATAAATTCTTAAGGTCTGGAACCTACAGACATCACCAGACACTGAGTTTCTTCCCTGGCGATGCTCTGCCAGGCCTTTACTGTAGCTGTCTTCAGCTCCTGCTTGTTCTTAGAAAGTAAGGGGGACCAGCTTCTTTGGCAGGCGTACATGCCCACGTCATAACACTACCTCCACCATGCTCGACAGATGGGGTGACAGACTTCATCATAAGCAGTTCCTTCCCTTGTCCATATTCTGCTTATCTTCTTTTCTTGATTGTTGACTTTGCCTACCTCCTGGAGGGTGCTCTTAAATTGTCCTGTCACCCACCAGTGGTTTTCCATGGCCTAAATGTTTCTGGCCTTGACTGTATGCAAGCTTTTGCAAGGCAAACGTTTCTTTGAGAAGTTTAAACATGACATACATAGAAGTTGTGAATAATTGCTTTGTCTGGATATAAATGTTGCTTTAGTACTAAGTTTTTTTTGCTGTTAGTCATGTAGACTTTAGCTTGCTAACTGGTAAAGTGATAGTATTATCAAGTTGTCACAGGAGTCATGTATAACAGATTAGAGTAGTAACCTAATGCCGTGCAAATTGAATACTATGGTTTTGAAATATTAAACATTTTAAAGAAATTTATTGCTACGGCTTTTAAATGCTTTATCTACTGAATTTGAAGATCACAGTAAATTCTGGGTAAGTTTTGCAGCCGAAGTCAACATTTCTGTTCACTTGAACACTTACGCCTCCTAAGGCTTATATATTAAAACTTTTACTTGAGCTAATACAGTAATGGAATGGCACTCACGTGTGCTTATGTCATGCACTGATGTTTAGTACTTTTATTATGGTATTTGAAGGTGTTTATCTTCATTGTTTGCTAAATCTTATTGAGAAATTGTGGGATTATGTGGGAAAGAAAAGTCTGTGAACAGCAGTGAAGGATGAGTGGGAAGCAGTTTCTTTAGATCATTTACAGATTAGTATTAGCTTTACTAACTGTGCTTCAAGAGGAGCTTTACAGTGGAGGCCTCACTGGTGGACAGTTAAAGAAGGAAAGTAAAAGACTATTTTACTGCAGGTTTTAGAATTCATTTTGTGTTAACTAGGCAAGCCAGTACTAAGGGTCGAGTTTCCTGAACTAAGCCTAGTCCTGGGCCACACTGAAGAGCCAATGGTGAATCACCACTGGAAATTGCTGCTAGTCTAGTCTTAGGCTTTACCTGGGTCTATGAAATGTGCCCTAAATTACATGCATGAACAATTAGCTCACTAGCAAACAACGTGAGGTGGCTAGAGAAGGACCTACAAAATACTGTTAGACATGTTTCCTTTGTTTACATTAATGTTTTGATGTATATCATTGATAATTACCAAAAACAACAATCTGTAAGAATTATAGCTAGTCAACTGAAAGCCAACTATTTGTTTAAGAAATGGTTTGGCAAAAAATCTAATCAAATTATCCACTTACTCCAAATGTAGTCCATCAGCCAAGACATGTTTGGTGTCCAAATTTTGGGAGCTACGAGGCTAATGCTGCTAACAAACATCACAAGACAACAGTCACCCAAATCTTTTCTGTAAATACATCTCCAAGACTTCTATCAACTTGCTTCAACAACATCCAGCTCTTCATTAAAGTGGCACAGACTTGTCGATGTGTTTTGGAATGTAGTATTGATTAATTATGAGCTAGAAAAAAAAGATTGACATCTGAATTCTGACTCCCCTGCAGTTATTTATAACAAGTTGTTTATAAACAGAAATAATAGAAATCATATATATATATATATATATATATATATATATATATATATATATATATATATATATGGGATATGTATATATACATCTATATATGGGAATTGGAATTCAGCACAACACTTCTGCACTTCTGTTGTCTAAAATGGCAGTGTTCAGATATACAATGAAATTTAGTTATGCTATGGTCTAAACCACATTAGCAAGTCTTAAACGAAGACACGGATTGAGCTGGTTGAGAGAATGTATTTACAGAAAAGATCTGGGTCACTATTGACATCTAGTCTTTGTTAGCAGCATTATCCTCATAGCTCCAGTGTTAAACTAAAGAAAGAAAATTTGGACATCAGATATATCTTGGCTGATCAACTCCATCTGGGGTAAGTGGAAAACTATGTGCATTTAAATTTTCGCCAAACAAATCCTTTAATATAACATCATTTATCTGCATTTAAGTCAAGTAAATTAAATGGATCTCGTTCGGGTTAAGGTTAGTGTTAGGTTAAGTGTAGCACAGCACCTCACAAAGGCAGGAATACAGTGAGGGTGTGTGTGTGTGTGTGTGTGTGTGTGTGTGTGTGAGACAGAGAGAGAGAGAAAGAGTCGTGCTGGGAGAAGGTGTGGGCAGTCTGCATCTCTCTCCAACTCTCTGCGTTATTAATAGATATTAATAGACGCCTGCGTGGTGCCAAAAAAGCACAAGCAAAACAAAAGCAAAGCCCTCCCCTCCCTCCTTTCCCAAAGCCGCCTCAGTCCCTTAGCCACGTCCCACAAACCACATTCCCAGCCCCTTCATTCATTCACCTGCTCCAGCCAACCGATTCACTGAATCACGCATGAATCGATGGATACAGGTATGCATGCATTCAGCCTGTGAATCCCATGTGAATCAGTACACATGATTATCACAGCTCCGCATTCATTTATCCACTCATGCATATTATCATCAGCTACACTACAGTTATACATTCAGTTAGACATTCAGCCATTCAGTCTCACATGAATCGGTGCATATTGACATAAAAAGCACATTACAGTCGGCCAATGAAACCCATATGCATCAATGCTTATGTGCATCAGCAGCACAACGTCCTGCATTTGTTTATCCATTCAGCCATGGAATCCCACATGAATCAATGCACATTTACATCAGCATGCATTCATTTTTTTCCAGCGCCGCTACCAGGCGACGCGCGCGCTCCACCACGCCTTCCACCTGCTGCGAGCGGTCACAGCGTGGGTTGCATTACCTTGTGGGCTACTGTCCTCTCTCTGGCTGGCGCGTGAGGGGGGCTGGCTCTCCTCCTTAAAGCCCAGGCCAGGCGGGCTGTCTTCGGGTGAGCGACCCAGAGGGGGGCTGGAGTCCTCCTCCAGAGCCTGCAGCTTCAGCAACGAGCTCTGCAGGCAGAAGCAGAACATGGCAGAAGACGGAAAGAGGGAAGAAGAGAGAGAGAGAGAGCGAAAATGAGAAGGACCACCGTCGTGCCCCAGACAGACAGAGGGGAACGATGGAGAGCGGCTGCAGAATCACCACGCGCGCGCCTCTCGGCTGTGCATGCGCGTGCGTCTGAGGGAAGGTGTGTGCGCGTGCGTGCGTGTGTGTACGTGCGCCGCTCGCCTTGCTGCGGCAGCTCCTTCCCTCGCATGGATTATTCATGCTGCTCTTGGAGTGGTGGGAAAGAGAGAGAGAGAAATGATGGGGGGAGGGGGGGATGGGCTACTCGCGTCAGCAAAGCCCCAGAGCAGGCTGGCTTAAACTGGCTGCAGCGATAGGGTTGGAGGATGAGGGGTGGGGTGGGGCAGCAGGCGCGTGGAGGATGGATGGAAGGATGGATGCGTGGGGTAAAGACGGATGGGGAGGGAGGGGGCTTTCTCAGGAATTTCCCGCATCCGGGGGCGTGGTGGTGGTGTGTGTGTGTGTGTGTGTGTCTCACTGAGCGCGCGCTGGCGTCATCAAGCCCCTCCTCGCATCCATTCATGAAACAGCAGAGGAGGCGGACAGTACAGCTGCCAGCAGCAGCCTGGATGAGACCAATGTTCACACACGCGCTAACGTCAGGAGGAGACGTGGCTCTGACGTTTTTGCTCTGTCTTCTGCTTGTGAGATGGAGATGCAGATGCGGCTCTCTTCTCTCAATGGATTATCTCTCTCTCTCTCTTCTCCCCCCCACCTCTTTCTCTCTTTATAGGCATGACCATGTTTAGTCACAGTATTAGCACAACGTCATGGCAACCAACTAACACAGAGTTAATTCATAAACGTTTCAATGAAAAAAAAACTGTCACTACCTGTCACTCATCTTCCATCTCTCTCTCTCTGAGGGCCTCTGCATCTCTTTCTCATTCTCTCTCACTCCATTTCTGTCTTTTTCTCTCATTCTCTCTTTACTTCCTGCCCTGTATCTCTCTTACTCTCTCTCTCTCTCTCTCTCTCTCTCTCTCTCTCTCTCTCTCTCTCTCTCTCTCTGTCTCTCTCTATTACTCTTCTTACTCCGTTTTGCTCTCTATCGTTTTCTAATTCTCTGTTTACCCCTGTATCTCTTTCTCAGTGTCTCTCTCTCTCTCTGTATTTCTCTCTCTCTCTCTGTCTCTTTCATTCTCTTTACCCACCTCTCTTTTTCTCTTTACTCCCTCCCTTTCTGTATCTTTTTCTCATAGTCTTTTTATCTCACTATCTTTTTTCTCTCCCTCTGTCTCTCTTTCTCTCATTCTGTCATTACCCCATTTCTCTCTCTGTCTCTCTGTGTTTTTCTTATTCTCTCTTTCCCCATCTCTCATGCTGCATCTTTCTCTTCCTCACATTTTCTCTTTACTCTGTTTTGTGGTGTGTCGTTTTCTAATCCTTTCTTTACCCTGATCTCTCTCTCTCTCTCTCTCTCTCTCTCTCTCTCTCTCTCTCTGTCTCAATGTCTCTCCTTTTCTCTTATTCTTACTCTTTAATTTTCTCTTTACCAATTTATCTCTCTCACTCTCTCTCTTTTCACCCTTTCATTCTGTATCTCTCTCTTTTCTCATAGTCGTTTATGTCACTCTCTTTTTCTCTCTCCCTCTCTCTCTTTCACTCTTTATCCCATCTCTCTCTCTCTTTCTTTCATTCTCTTTACCCCATGTGTCTTCCTCTCACTGTCTTTCTCTCTCTGTCTTTCTCTCACTCTCTCATTCTGTCTCTCATGGACTAACAGTGTTTGCTGGCCTCAGGAGCAGTAGACTGATGTGTCCGCTTCACTGAGGATGAGTCATCCTCCTCTCCTGCCCCTTCCTTCCACCCTCTCTCTCTCCTCCCTCCCCCTCCCATCTCTCTCTCTCTCTCTCTCTCTCTCTCCTTTCCCCTTCGTCTTGGAGCTAGAGTGCATGCTCGTGCGCGCAGGATACACCCCCCTGCACCACTGACACGCATGCAGGCATTGACTCTTGACAGCAGCAGCAGTGTGTGTGTGCATGCACGCCTATGTGTGGGTGTGTATGTGCATGCACGTTACAAAAGGTACAACACGACACATGAACTATCGACCACACGATTCACGGCAGAGCCTGTTCTTTTATAGTGAGAGTTTGGCAAAAAATCTAATTTACATAATTTTCTCCTTAACCTAGATGTAGACAGTTGGCCAAGACTTATCTGAAGTTTGTTTTTTTACTGGAGCAGCAGGGCTTATGTAGCTGACACAGACCAATAAATTATAGCTACCTAGTGGCACTGTGTAAACTGCATACCTAAATCCTCAAACACCTGTCTCAAACTGTGTTAAGTAATCTCAAATAGATTTGCTCACCTATTAGAGTTTTACAAAAATCAGTCAATAATAACTTCAATATTCAGGAATAACTTTGCTTTTCTAAGATGTTTTATTTACAGTTTAAAGGAAAAGGAGGAATTATTAAATGATAAATAAGTGTCACAGTCTTCCTGTCTTGTGTCTACCCCCTCTTGTCTCCTAGCCATGTGCTTTAATTTTTATTTTGGTTTTTGTCTTCTCCCTTTTTCTGCTTCTTTGTTATCTGTCTCACCTGAATCTAGCCTGTTGCCCCACCCTCTCATTAATACTCATGTAATATGTTTGCCTTTCCCTTGTGTATTTTTACACCTTTTCTCCTGGCCATACATTGTTTGATGTTGTAGAGTCTGGATTCCTGTGTCCAGAAAATGTTTCCAGAGTTTTCCTTGTCAGTTTGTTTGGTATTTCATTTTAGTTGTTCTTTGCTTAGTTGTTTAGGTTATACTGGGAGCTTTAAGGCATGTGATGAGAAGGTAGGGCACTTTCAGCTGAAGCCTGTATTAGTGTTTGTGTTGTTTTCTTGATAATGACATGAAGCTTTGCTTAGGGATTGCTTCTAGAATGGGTTTAGTTTCAGTAGGCTTCACCACCATGTGGCCATGTACAACACTATTCACCTTCAAAGCTCTATTCACTGCTAATTTGAAGAAAACTGTCACCCTCCAGTTAAAGCTCTTTATCCTTCCCATTAGGAATTAGGTAGGTTTGAACCACATATCTATGAAAGCTATACTATGTAAGTTTGAGGGTTTGGAGACTTCTCTGGTAGAAATGTGCAATTGCATGCAATGTGCAGAAGAACATTTTGTAATGTGCTGGTTGTGCTTCAGACCCCAACCAGGTGAATCTGATGATTGTGAGTGAAGGAGAATTCAAAGAGAACTCAGTCAAAAATTGGTGAAAGATGTGTCTTCTGAGTATATGAGTAAATTGTCTACTAATGTCATATATGTGCATCAGTATAATGTTGATTTTGCATTTGAGATCTAAACATTGAGCTGGACCTTCTTTTTGAGCCTCTGCGAATGGTCCATAAAGTCTAATTTGACAACAATGTTTTTATTTACGATTATTTTTATATATAAAGTTCATGTCTAAAGTTGATGTCTAGGTCACTTTACAAAGGTAATACATTTGAAGAAGTCCCTTATTTGACATTGCACAGCCATTACAATAGTAGTTTATTTCTAATTAGCTTCTACTTGTCAGGTTATACACATGCAGCATGGTCTTCTAAAATATTTTAAATACTACACAGGCCTTTTTTTGACCATTAGGGGCCTCTAGCAGGTGCCTAAAGCCTCGAGAAAAGAACCATTTCTTAACAGATTTGTCTGGAAAGCTTCAACACTTAATGAAGCTTCATCTCGCCATCACTATTTTCTCTTTGGTTCTATGTTTATTTTAGTTCTCCACCAACCCTCTGTGTTTCTGCCTGCTATGTTAAAACAAAGATATGTTAAAACCAAGATAGGTTATCAGGCTCATCACCAGCAAAACTAGCTAACTAACATATTGTCCCTGTCCAAACAGAAACAAGTATCTCCAAAATGGTAAGTTTACAGGAGAAGACAAAAACAGTTTTTACTTTTAGTGTGAGTTAGTATAAAAAGATTTTATTCCAAGTTATTTTGGAATTTTGGAGCATTTCTGTTGGTCCTTTCATCCATGCATGTTTTTCTTTGGACAGTGACGAGATGCTTTTGGATGCTGGTATGCTTGTTTTTCTTTTGTCAGCTTTAACTGCCCACCACAGCACGAGGGGAGCAGGGAGACAGAAAAGAAAAAAAATCTCATCATAAACTGTGTATTTACTCTGGAAATATTTTTACTTTTTTCACTGATAGATCCAAGTTAGGCTAAAATTCACTTTGTATATGATAAATTTCGCGGTTTCTTTCGCTGTTATGATTGGGACTGATACACTGCAAAAATGGTATCTTGGCGAAAGAAATTATCTTAAATCTAGTCAATATATCTAATATTTCTCAAGATATGAGTGTTGTAAGTTTATTCTAAGATTATTTAACTACAGCTTTGGTCTGGCTTGTTTCACCTGCGAACTAAGCTCTCTCTCAAACACCACAGAATAGGTTCGATTTCAGCTTATTGTCACTCTACTTTTGTGGTCTCAAACATTTTTATTTCCGAAATTAATGTCAACAGAGCACCAATTTTCAGAATCAAGCCTGTACTGTGATGGGTGGCACTGTTCAGGTCTGTAGCATCCTTACTAAGCTAATGTTAAGGTACTAAGGTATGTCAGGCTACAGATTCAACAGGTTTAATTTCGCCTTTCTGTCCATTTAGCGGTGGCTCGACTCTCAGATTTCAGTCATTATTTTAATCATCTAAACTTGTGTGAGTGCTAGTTAGTAAGAATTGGACATGTTCTGTGGTGGGCAGAGCTGTTAACGTACTAGCAAAGCTAACACTAACCAGCTCCTTGCTCCTAGTTAGCAGCACTGTTCAACCTTTACAATTATTTGATAGATGGTTTGACATTTCTTGAATGATGGTTCGAAAATTGTGTTCACTTATTTGGTAATCATGTAAAGCAAACTTTGTGTTTTGTAAATACTGTCATATACCATATACCCCAGTTAATTGTGAGCAAGTATAACAGTATGAAAATATTCACCACCCAAGCATAATAAGGATGCAAATTTCAGACACCAAACATGTCTTGTCTGATTGACTGCGTTTAGGATCTCTTTAAGCTCGCCCACTCTGTTCTGACTGGTCCACTGCCAA